TGTGGGCACAGGAAAGGGGTTTGGCAGAGCATGAAGTCACTGTGACAGTTTCTGTAGCACGGTGTCACCTCCCTCAAGAGCACATCCAATGCCAGAACACCCAGGAGGCACTGGAAGTTAAGGAGGATGGGCAAGTTTGTATTTTATGAGCTACCCAGACAAGGTGTGACAGTTTGGTATCAGAGAATCATTTGGGGTGGAAAAGACCTCTGGGATCATTGAGTCCAGCTGTTTCCTCAGCGCTGCCGAGGCCACCACTGGCCCSTGTCCCCAAGTGCCACATCYACATGGCTTTGAGATSCCYCYAGGGATTTATGAGCCCRCTKCTCTGGGCAKCCTGTGYCRAAGCCTGACMAYCCTTTCAGTGAAGAAATTTTCCCAAAATCCAACCTGAACCTCCCCTGGCCCARCCTGAGGCCRTTCCCTCTCCTCCTGTCCCTGTTCCCTGGAGCAGAGCCCRACCCCCCCGGCTGYCCCCTCCTGTCAGGGAGTTGTGCAGAGCCACAAGGTCCCCCCTGATCCCCCTTTGCTCCAGGCTGAGCCCCTTTCCCAGCTCCCTCAGCCTCTCCTGGGGCTCCAGACCCTTCCCAGATCTGTTCCCTTCACACTACACACAACCATGGTATGACTGAACCTCACAGCAGTGGCCTCAGCCCATCAATCCAGCTGGTCCAGAYCCCTCTTCTGATCCTTCTGATCCTGCAGGAGATCCTCAGATCCATTGTGGAGATGAAGTTTCTGGAAGGGAACTTGACACTGGGCCTGCATTATCCCGGTATGGCCATGGTGTCATCATTTTTCTGTCCATGCATGATCCAGACTGCTCCTGAGCACAAGGAAAAGCTGCAAATAAACCCATGTGGAGCACAGAGAACACAACAGTTTTCGGCAGTGTATGTACCTGTGTGTTTGGAGAGGTGGCCATCCCCAGACCTGCTCTGGGAGAGGCAGATTTTCCATATTAAGGAAAGGTTTAATAATTTCCTGCTGCACCCCGAGTTTGTTCCTGTCTCCCTGCCTGTGGGACGGACAGTTCGAGAGGAGATCATGAGGCAGCTTGAAAGTCTGAACGAAGAGCAAAGAAACCTTTCAAAGGACCTGCTTGTGTGGTCTTGGCTGGCTTGCTTAATCCTGAAAAACTAACAAGGGCAAAGATGCATGAGATTGTGACAACATCCCACCCAATTTCAGTCCTGTCTGATCAAAGGGAGAACAGGAGCGCAGAATTAATGCAGCCGCATGCACACACTCTACACTGGTGCTGGCAGTGATTGAACTTGAAAAGCTCGAGATCAAGTTCAAATGAGCATCTGGGGGTTTCAAAACTTGTACAAAATTACACTTGAAAATAGGGAGCAAAAACAAAGCCCGCAAAGAAATACAATCTTAGCAGAAATTGCTAATGAGATCTCATGGATTTTTTTTTTTTTTTGCCATAATCTATTTCTAGATGGATTCCAAATCCTTAGATTGGAATTTGTGTGCATAGGATGTTTTTTGTCCTTTCAACTCAGTAAAATCAGCACAAGAAAAAGAATTCCAGCCTACTTCACAAAGTTCAGAGATGCAGTTGTGGTTCACCCTGAAAMCAGAGTTGCTCTTTTTGCTCTCAGAACAGACTCACTCTCTTTCCCCTGCTCACTGGTAGGGCCAGAAAGATAAAGAGTTCATCTTACAGGARAAAAAGAAATTCCAGTTTCTTTGAATTAAGATTAATTTTCTTGGTGCCTGTACTTTTTCCTCATTTTTACCRAATCTCTATGGCTCCTATTAAATTTATCTACAGACACTAATCTTTTAATGTTCCTGTTAAATCTCTGCCCCTACAGAAGCTTCATTTGTCAGCYACCTTCTCCGCACCTCTAGACCTGAATTCAATTAGCTCCAAATTGTGTTTGTACGAAAAAAAAAAAGGGGGAAAAAAGTCCAGGCTCTAAAATATATTTCTATTTTTCTTCATTTTCATGATAGAAAATGTTTTACTGAGCTAGAATGAGAGATTTTCTCTTAACAAAGCCATGTTATGCAAGACTGGTGATGGATTTTGAGCTGACGCCAGATTGGTGATGGATTTTGAGCCAGTTATAAATCCAAAAGGAATGACTGGATATGCATTTCCTTGTTAACAATTAAGATTTCTGACTGGTTTTGTGTTTTTATTTCCAGCTCTGCATGCAGTACTGGCCGGAGAAGACGTCCTGTTGTTACGGTCCAATCCAAGTGGAGTTTGTGTCAGCAGACATCGATGAAGATATCATCAACCGGATATTCCGGATTTGCAACATGGCCAGGGTAAGACAGGAGAAATGCCCCATCCCCTTGTTATTCTAAAAACCACATTTTGGTGGTTTAGAGATGCAGARTCTCCCACCTAGGAACGAAATTCTGCTGCAGCCACTTCCTTTAATTAACATTTAATCAGCCTGCCTTGCTAAAGGACTCCTGGCTGAAGGCAGCAAGGGGGTTGATATGAGCTGAAAATCTGTATTTAAATGGTGAGCATTTTTCTGTGTGTATTTGAGAACAATTCATCACTTGGTAGCCAATATAAAGCCATCAGTATTGCAGGAAATAAACTGGGGTAGTGTCAGCAGCTCTCCATCTGTCAGCTCCCAGGCAGCGTCTCTGAAGACAGATGCAATGTTTACTGGCTAGACTGGGATTCCCAATTGMCACTGCTTTCCCTATAAATAAGCAGCTGCCATTTCTCTGAGCARCTCTTTGTCTGCGTCCCTCAGCCCCAGGACAGCTGAAATGATAGAAACAAAGTTTATCCGCACRCTGAGCCCTGGCAATCCGACTTCAKGGCTGCAGGAAAAGGCTGCAGCAGAGGATTTTTCTCTCATTAGTTGTTTCCTGGATTGATTGTGTTTCCTTTGTCGATCCTCTTTCATTTTTCCTGGTCAGAAATGGAAGCAGGCCCCACAAATTGTATTTCCATGCAGTTTAACGCTTCAGTCTCTACATAGCCAGAGCCTGGGCAGCAGTTTGGCTGCGGCACTGCGGAGGGAATGGCCCAGCCACAAATGTTGATAAATTGATTGTATATCAGACCCTTTTCTGTGTCCCAGGGAGAGCCTGGGGTCATACAGCTGGTCAGACCAAGGCTCTGTGACTCTCAGGATGGAAATGGCCTGTGCGCACTCACAGCTCTGTGCAGCTATCCGTGTCCAACACCACTGCCAGCCTCCACAGTCCCCTGAGAATTTTTGAGGGCTGCCTTTATGCTATGGCACAGCACAGGCAGCCAGGAAAGAGACATTTGGTGTGTTTGTGCAGTTTGGTGAAGCTTCATTCTGGATGAATGAAG